CACACTTACTTCTCTTTCCTCGGGCAGGTCCTTCCTGAAGGTGTTTGTGCTCACAGGAGAGACCCAGGAGCGGGAGAGGATTCTCTGGCATTTCTCCCAACGCTACCATTGCTGCAACCCACAGGCCTTCCAGAGTCCAGGTATGGCCCCACCTTGGCTTTCTCCCCCCCCCCCACTCCAAAAGCTTGAAGTAGTTGGCTGGCAGGCATCTGCCAGGGCTCCTCCACCCTGGGTTTTCTTTTGGAGGATGGACATCCCTCAGGGCTGGTGGGGGCTGGGAGAACTGGGTGTGGGAAGGAGGGAAGTGCACGATGAAAGAAGACAAATGGGTTAATGTGTGTATTTGGAGGGGGGCTTGCACTTCTACTGCACAATGTGCCACGTCACCCACCCACTTGTGCAGATGCCCTGCAAGATTGTGATGGCTGTGGCCTCCACCCAGATGCCCACTCTTGGAAGTGGAGGAGGTTTACTCCTGAGTAAGCAGCAGCTCTTCAGAAGAGCAGCCCTTCAAGCCTGGCATTCCATATTCCCACCATGAGCGGGGGGGGGGGGGCAAGCAGGCATTGTTCCTGCAAAGTGAAGCCTGCATTTAGCAGCTTGGGAAGCCCTCCCGTGGCCCTGCCCAGCTGGCCACAGATTTCACACCCCCCTTGTGATGCAGGAGAGGCGGAGGGAGCAAGTGGGGGCTTTCACACCTTTCTGTTCTGCTTCTTTGGCACCTTCTCCCTCCGCAGATGCTGTGCACACACTCACCTGTGCCCTCATGCTCCTCAACACTGACTTGCATGGGCAGGTAATGCCATGGATGTAGCAGCAGGTGGGGGGGAGGATGGGGCAGGGGGCTTCGCCTGCTCCCAGAAGCCCAGGTGTGAAGCCCGGGCCCCTGAGGGCAATGGGTTAGGGATTCTCCCCCCCCCACGCAGGGCCCCAGAAACGGAACTCAGGTGCTGAGGTGCATGGAGCAGAGTTGCAGGGGAAGGCCTTCCACCTGACAGTTCGGAGTCCACAGCTCAGGGGGAGGGGAGGCCTTGTTGGGGGGGGGGCGTTCAGTCTTGTTTGGAGCCATGGAAGCTGAAACCTGCCAGGCTTCCCTCTCCCTGCCCCCACCCTGAGTGCCTCCTTTCCTCTCTCTTTTGCCTGTGGGAGCAGAATATTGGCCGGATCATGAGTTGCCAGGCATTCTTAGTCAACCTGGAGGGCCTGAACGATGGCCAGAATTTCCCTAAAGAGCTCTTGAAGGTAGGTGGCCACCCCACCTGCCCGCATGGGGGCCCCTGCCCTGCCGGGGTAGGTGTTCTTTCTCTGGCAGGTATATGGGTGGGTGCGGGGGGGGGGCTAGAAGAAGAGGTTGCCTGTCACACGGAGCTCCCAGGCTAGGCCAGTAGCCTGCAAGCCACCCACCCTTACAGGCTTTCTTCCTCTGTTTTCTGCTCTTCCTCCTCTTCCTCTTCCTCTACCTCCTCCTCCTCCTTCTCAACCTGCAGTGCTGCTAAGCTGCCATCTTGAGAGAGGGGAGGGATCAAGGGAGAGAAGGCAGGTTCTGTGGGAAATGAATTCCCCCCCCCCACTATCCTGCATGTGGCAAATGCGTGACTTCTGCCCAAAGCAGAATGGGTCTGCTGTGGAAGCATCTCAGTGTGGGTGGAGGGGGGGCCCCTTACCCCTGGGCTGTCATGGTGCGGTGGGGGGTGGGACTGACACATGGACAGCCGGAGACTTTCCAAATAGCTAGTTGCCATTTTCTGTAAAACGAAAAGCCAAAGTTTTCTGGAAGCCTTGAGGAGGCAGAAATGAGAGCATCAAGACATGTGGGTTGCTCTGGTGATAGGTGAGCATGGATGTGGGGCAGAGGAGAAGGGGAAAGGCTGAGCCTTGTCTGCCAGATGGGGCGACGTGTGCTATTCTATGGGGAAGTGCTTCCCAGTAGAGTGGGGAGGGCCAGGGTGTGGGTAGGGGAGGACCCCTAAGACCTCAGCTGCTCTTCTCCTGCTCTTTCTGCAGGCGCTGTATTACTCCATCCGCCAGGAGAAGCTGGAGTGGGCTGTGTAAGTAATACCTGGGCGAAACCTGGTTTGGAGCAAGAAGCAGACCAACTGCAAGAATTACTGCAGGGGGTGGGTGGGGTAGGGGTGGAGTTGGGGGCTGGAGAGGGAGACGCCATTGAATAATCTGGATGCCCAGTCTCCATAGCAAGAGCTCATGAGGCCACACATTCAGTGCAAACCGACTCTGGATTGCCCAGCGGGTGTGGATGACTCCTAAGTACAGGCTCTCCCCCTCCCCCAGTACTCCAGAGAAGTTGGCAGCAGAACCCCTGAAAGGGGGACAAGCATTTGGACTCTGAGGCCCTCTGCTGCTTCCATGGGGGTAAGCCGTGCCCCTGCATCAGGACTTACTCCTGAGGAGGCACATTTTGGATGGCAGCCCCGATCTGTGCACAGGAGCAGCACCAGCAAGTATTCTGGTCTGGCTGGTGGTTTGCTGCTGATGTCCCTTTGTGGTGCTCAGCTCAGACCTCGTGAGCTTTTCCTCTCCTAGAAAGCTAGAGAGCGTCTCTTTCTTCTCTGCAGAGATGAGGGCCAGACGGAGGTTGGGGCCAAACAGCTCCAGCGCCCCAGCGCCTCTGGCGGCAGTTTTTCCAGCCAGAAGAAGAGCAACCCCTTCATGTCCCTGGCGCACGACCCTGGGGCTCAGACCTACCGGCAGGGGCTCCTGGCGCGCAAGGTGCATGCAGAGGCTGACGGCAAGAAGAGTGAGTGCCTGGACCTGCCCGGGGGAGGGGGGAGGGAGAGAGACACCCGGACAGATCGGGGCCCTTCAGAGGGGCCAGGCCACGGGGTTCAGTGGCCTGGCTGGGACGGCGGGGTTGGGGTGGCTTGAAGTCCCCTCCCTGGTCTAACTCTGCCTCCCCTCCTGCCCCCCCCCCGCCCCAACCATGTTCTCCTCTCCTGTAGCACCCTGGGGCAAGAGAGGCTGGAAGATCTTCCATACTGTGCTGAAGGGAATGGTGCTGTACTTCTTCAAGGTAAGAGGGAGAGAGAGGGAGAGAGAGGAGGGGTGGCCAAAAAAGAAAAACAGGATGCCGTTAGGGCATGCAAGCTGAACCCACCGGCCCCAGTCTGAGCAGAAGGGGTTTATACCTTAACAGGGCCACTCAGCCTGTGGGGGAAGGAGGCCCAGGGGCAAGCCCCAGAGTG